TGTTAGGGTGGCTTAGCCAGAATCCCACCTCCGGTGTTTCCTGTCAGAAACCTTTCCTCTACCGCCCCCCACACTTTGCTTCTTGGCTATAAACTCCCACTTGCCCAGGCCGTATTTGAAGATGAGTCCAGTCTCTCTCCCCCACTGCAAAAGTCCATTGCAGTGGCCCCTAAGCCCGCCGCCACTTGAATAAAATCTTCCTTGGCATGCTTTCACAAACGTCATGAATAATTTTTCCTTTAACGGTTAGTACGTTATGTTTTCTTTCATGGAGGCAGACAGAATCATGACTGTGAGCTAGAATCGAGTAAATGATGGAATAACGGCCCAAGCACGATGCTCCAAGAACGAAGATGCCAAAGTGACTCCACCTGGGCAAGTTGCCAAAGGCCTTATGAAGGAGTTGGCCTTTGAACTAGGTCTTAAAGGTAAGAGGGGAAGAGGGGACGACTTAAGACATAGGAGAGAGAGAGAGAGAGATTTGATTCTGAGTGGACAGAATGAAGAAAAGCATGAGATAAAAAAGTGGACGATTGATTGGTGTAGAAAGTACTTCAATGTGTCCAGACCTTGAGTTCTTGAAGAATGTACAAAAAAATAAGGCTAAAATTATAGATGGCGGAACCTGTGGAACATCATGCTAAAAAGGATGAGGCTTTACTTTGTTGCGTAAATATTAAAGGTTTTCGAGAATAAACGTGACATGCTTTGACCCTCATTTGAGAGGTTACTGTTTTCTAGATATTAACGCCAAGCTCCTTTCAAACGTGACTTCAACTCATTCTCACTGAATCCTTGCAGAGTTCGGGCGACCTCACGGAACTCACGTCGCAGAGTTAGTGAGTGGCAGAGCCATGCCTCACGCCCCAGCTGTCCGATGACAAGCTCATGCTCCCAGCCGCTCTGACGCGCTCATTCATTTTCAAGAAGTGTGTGTTTTGAAACTTAAAATTTGAGGGTAAAGTAATCCAGAGCAGAAACGAAACCTTGTACATTTTTGCGCCGTTCACGGCACCACACCCATGCTATCTGCTTCCTTCCTCTACACAAACATGGCGTTTGGAACATCTTCTTTGAAGAAAATTGGTTTTTATCCGAGATAACCATTGGTTTTCACATTTTAATTAACCTAGATCCCAACAATCAAAACTGATACGCCTACAACAAATCCGTGCCGCCATATCGGGTTTGATACGATTCTGGGTGACAGAAATGAAAAATCACATTTCAGCTGGTCTGTGCAGCCTTAAATTTTGATGAGGGTGGAAACAGATTGAGGGTTCCCATGACTAACTTCACAGATCCTAAGGACCCGGGGCATAAGACTGGCCAGTGTTTACTGAGCTCCTACCGGGAACTTACCTTATAACTGCCCTGCAGGGGACGTATTGATTATCATCCCCATTCTATAGGTGAGCCACCTTTGGGAGGTAGTAAAGGGTTAAATGAGACCATGAGAGTGGAACTCCCACGATGGGATTAGTGTCCTTATATGAAGAGACATCAGAGAGCTTGCTTGACCTCTATCTCTCTCCCTCCAGAAGTCACATGAACTCACAGGGAGCTGTCAGCCACCTACAAGCCAAATAAATGAAATCGACCTTGCCAGCACCTTGACCTTGGACTTCAGCTTCCAAAACTGGGAGAAATAAACTTCTGCTGTTTAAGCTCCCCGGTCTGTGGCGTTTTGTTAAGGTGGCCCTAGCTGACTAACATGCGGGATTATCTTCTTTCATCGGAAGGCAGCGGTGTCCGTAAAAGCCACTTCCTTTACAGGACACGATGTCATTAACATGCGTAAGCGCTGCACGGATTCCGGCGGGACTGAGATCTGGGCTGTGAAGTCCGGTCCCGGTTCTTACCTCTCATCACGTGGGGGGGAGGAGTGGACTCGAGCACGGGCGCTGCTATCGCGGGCATGGGGACCCTCGGCGTGGGCGAAGGGTTGACCCAAGATGGGAGCGAACTGGGAGCAACTTTGCTGCCGTAATACAGGGCACCTGTGTAGAAAGACCTGTCTCCGTTAGCTTCCGGGTTTCCCTTTCCATGCCCGTTGCTGACCATTTCGAGAATCTGTTTTATGAACCCAGAGGTTCTCAGCTAAGGTTTGCTCCCATTATTTTTACTCCGGAATTCTCTCCCCTACGTCATCATGCCATGGGCCTGCCGCGGGGTCCTCTGCAGAGTCTGGGCCCTGGGCTGGGGTCTGCAGCAGGAGGAGCTGCCCCGCAGAGTTGGGGAAGGGTCTCGTGCCTCCAGCAGAGGCCAGGAGCTAATGTCCATCCAGCCCCCAGAGGAGGCCGATCACGTAGGCGTCTTCCGATTATTGAAACAGAATTTGTTTATGTATTTTTTTAATGGGTGATGGTATCGAATTCTATATTCGATTTCATTAGATGCGCTTAAAAGAGCGATGCCATTTTTTTTTTAAAAAAGCTCAACCTTTACAATATACCAGAAATTAAATTTGTTGCAAATACTTCCACAAGATGAAAAATATGTTAATGTTGAATTTAAAACTGTATGAAGGGGGAAATGCATTTTCAAAATTCCTTTGGAAAACACGTGAGCGAAAACGTTCAAAGATCATGGCAATAAATTATCTCTAACATAAATGGACAGAAGGAGCTCAGCACAGGGACACAGGCCTGGAGCCAGAGGTGGACAGAGGGTAAGAGAGTCTCAGAGGGTCCAGGACCTGGACGTGGGCCGTGAGGGCTGACCCCTACCGTTTCCCCACCAGACTGAAACACTGACCTGAGCAGCAAGAATGGTCTTGGGGCGGCGAGTCGGCCAGCAGGCGCTCGTCCCCAGCCTCGTTCTCGATCACCATGGCGGTGAGCGGGGTGACGATGTGATGTTCCAGGGACATCTGCAGGATGGTCTTGGTAATCTTCCTCTTGGCAGCCGCCGTCGGAGCCAGGCTTCTGTATCCAGGACATAGGGACAGCAGAGAGCATCGCTGTGTTTAAGGCCGAGGTCAGGTCCCCCGAACCCATTTCCGGTGTTCAGCTAGGACCCGGGGGGCCACGACGGAAGAGAGAACTAGAAGGTTTCGCGAGGCTTAGTGTTTTATCTGGCCTAAGGAATTTTTTAATACACTTTAGTTCTTGTAGAGCAGTTTTAGGTTCACAGCAAAATGGAGTGGAAAATACACAGAGTTCCCATATCTCCTCTGTCCGCCATGATCAACATCCCCACCGGAAGGTACATTTGTTACAATCGAGGATCCCACAGTGACACCTCGTTATGGTTCAAGGACCACAGCTGGCTTTAGGGGTCACCTCTGCTGTTGCACATTCTATGGGCTTGGACAAATGCATAATGACATGTCGATCATACAGAGTTGTTTCACTGGCCTGAAAAATCTCTGTTCCACCTGTCACCCCACCCCCTGTAACCAATGATCTGTTTTATAGGGATCGTTTATAAAAAATCGATATTTAACTTCTGCAGCAATTTGCTATCCACCTTTAAATGTGCATCCAGTGCACTTCTGTAAAGGGGCAGAAACATTTCTCGCTCACTTCAAAGCCACAGCTGACAGCCAAGTGTCTGTTCTACAGTCGTATTGACACCATGGATTTTCTCTGTGCGTAGTTAGTCACATGACCTCATTTCATTTTCCCCAACCTGGGTCAGACGACCCTGTTCCATCTCCCCGAGACTCTGATAGAACAGGTAGAGTGGGCTCAGGGATGGTTACTTTCTTAACCAATGTGTGTATGTAACTCTGATACAGGATGTCAAAGGACCACCCCTTCCTCTAAAAATATAGTTTTCATGTGAGAGAGTTTCAACGTAGTTCAGCCGAGATGCCAAAGCTGAAATCATCACTATTAGGGAGCCCTTCTTATGCGATATCAAAATCGCATGATTGTATATCTCTCTTTGGTCGATAACCCGTTTTCAGGGGTAAATGCAAATGGACTGCTGACCCACGCGGCACCATGGATGAACCTCGCGGACAACGCAGTGAGTGAAAGAAGCCAGAAACACAAGAATACCGATTGTGTCATTATATGGGAGTTAGTCAGGGGCAAAACTAACTGATGGCGATCGACATCTGCAGAGCTCTTTCCGTGGGAGGTGGGGAGAGGGCGTTGAGTGAGAAGTCAACAGGGGGGACATTCGGAGACAAAAAAAGTCCGCCATGTCTAGATCTGGGTGGCCATTACAGGGGCGACGTATATAAAAATGCATTAAACCGTGCACTTGAGGTCAACACCCTTCACACACTTGACTGTGTGCATGCGACACCTCAACACAGAGTCAGAAACAAACCAGTGACCCGAGCTTTAGTTAAAGCGATTGGGACCAGTGGAAATTAATAATCCAAACGCTGTAATAATTTGCTGCCTTTCTTGGTTTCAAACTCCTTTTGCGTATTACTTCAAATGTTCAAGGCAAACCTCTTAATTTTGCAAATCCCTGTGGCGTATGTGCTCCTTACCGCTCAGCCAGAAGTTGGTTGATTGTCAGATAGGCCCACAACTTCCGAGTGAAATCAGGATCCGCGTGCTTGTCTTTCGATAGAAAATCCTCCAAGTCGTCCATCTGGGCCAGGGTCTCCAAGACTAACTCCGTGTTGGCCTGGACGATGCAAGGTTTAGCGCAAAGACGTCATGATTATAAATGACAGTTAATAAATTCACGTTTTTCGTACCTCCTGTGAGTGAATCAGGGTACTACGTAACCTGAAGGGGAATGTAAAATAATTCAACAGCATACACAAGAGGAAGTAGGTGCCCATTTCTGGAGTTTGGGATTGGTTTGAGGTGGAAAAGGCAGAGATTTGCACAGTAATGGGGACGATGGCATCGATGTTCTCGTGCCTTCGCTTCGCTATTGCTTTTATTTTGCATACGTGATTCTTGGGGTGCAGTGTTAGCCTGTTAGCGGACAAGATGCACTGTGTCCGGGGGACCAGTTAGTATTTTTAAAACAAGCAGATCAGCCAAAGTACCGAAGTTGCAGTGATAATGCTCTGTAACTGTTCTGATTTTTCCGGGTCAAATTTTCCTGCCACCACAATCTCTGAGCCCCCAAAATAGTTATGGAAACTGTTCTGAGTGACATCTGTTGCTGACGTGTGGGGATAGTTGAACTGGACGTTCCGGAGCAGTGGAGTAGAGACTTGGTTGTAGAATTGCTACAATTCGTAAAACAAACAAACAAACAAACAAAAAACACACAACCAAACACAAGAAATCGTTAGTTTCACACCGCTTTAATCTCTGAGCCCCCAAAATAGTTATGGAAACTGTTCTGAGTGACATCTGTTGCTGACGTGTGGGGATAGTTGAACTGGACGTTCCGGAGCAGTGGAGTAGAGACTTGGTTGTAGAATTGCTACAATTCGTAAAACAAACAAACAAACAAACAAAAAACACACAACAAAACAGAGGAAATCGTTAGTTTCCCACCGCTTTCTAGGGCTGAAGAGTTTTTCTCTGAGATTATTCAAATGCTTAACAGATCTCTCTTAATTTATTCTCACAGTCTATATCTCTGTGGAAAGCTTTGGGACAAGGAACATCCTCGTAATTATCAGACGAGCTGAGACATCGAGATGTTATGGTAAAAAGACTTGCTAAGAATATCACTCTTGGCTTAAGAGCCCAGCATTTTTTTTCCCTCTGATGACCAGCGTGTACAGCTAATGGACATTCATAACAAGAAAAGCTAGTTCGGTTGATAGACCCCAAATTAGAACCTTATCCCTTACCTGTCCCCAAGTTTAAATATGGCACCTGCTGTTGATAGGTACCTGGTACTGACAGAGAGTTGGGTAAAGGACGTTCATTTCCTACATCTTTTTCTTGCCTATTTAGTCAAAATAAACAACTAATTCATATTCCTTACATTTAAGGACGCTTATAGGCTCTAGTGTGATCTGTTTTGCATCATAGAAAGTTGACATCCAAGATGCCAGTGCACTTTGATGGGAACGGTGTCCATGACGACAAGAAGGACCACCCGCTTGGCGGGACTGGGGAGCCTCTGAAGGCTTGTTCAGGGAGGGGGTGGGGATGTGCCTGTCACCTTACTGCCTCCCATCTCACTGTTGGTGCCCACATACAGGTGGGGGGGTGTGCAGGAGAGCGGGACGAACACTTCCCTGATTCTTGCAACCCGATATAGCTGAAATCATACAATTTTCACTTAAATTTGACCATCTGCTTCTAGGCATTAGATATTCCTAGAATGACTTTCAGTGAAGAAAATAAAAAGAACAGAAAAAAATGTTACCTTGAGCTGGGAAGAAGTGTCCTGGTTTCCATAAATTCTTTGAGCCATCCCGCGGTTGTCATTGGATAGTCTCTTCAAAAAATCATAATCGACGTCAAACCCTATCCCCAAACTGAACAAGGAGATGTTGTCTCGTATGTTCTGCTTCACGTTTTTCTGAATTTTTGACAACTTTAGTTCCCCTAAAGTTGATGACGACAGAAAGGAAAAGAGTGAAGAGGCACTTTTACGCAGTTTGGGGAAAATCCACAGAGAGCGGTTTGGAAAATTGGTCAAAATCAGGAACACACGTACTGTTTGACCCAGTGACTCAATCACTAGGAATTTTTCTTACAGATGCACTCATCCATGTTGAATAAAGCACGGGCAATGGTACATAGCAACGTTATTAGGAATAGACACGTAACGGAAACCACTTAAACGTACACCAGTGAGGGAGATTGGTTAAATCATGGTACGTTCCAACTTTGAAATACTATTATTTCAAAATACTATATTATTACTGTTATTAAAAAGGACAAAGCAGCTCTTCATATATTTATGTTGAATGATCTCAAAGGCATTTTTAAAGGAGAAAAACGACGTAAGGATTGGTATATGTAGGATGTATTTGTATGCATGCATGCACACGTGTACGGACGTGTGTGTGTATATTCACATGGATGTGGATAAGAAAAATGCTTAACACGTAGATGTATCAGTGAGAAGTCGTTGCTCCGGCTGCCATGAGGGACTGGAGGGGGTGTGTGGAGAACAATGAAGAAAGAATACGTTAGTGAGGGCTCCGGAGAAGCGGCCTCTCGGGGACCTGGGGTCGACTGTCAACACACATTCCCATTCACCATCTCACTCCTGACGCCGAGGAAGTAAACGCATTTCATCCGTACGCATCGGCAAACGTGGATTGTCATTAAAACGAAAGTTTCCCCACATTGTAGAGGTGACACTGAGACATTCAAGGGCATTGCTGAAAAATGTCTGGGCGCTGGTTTAAGCAGAGTGTGTGAGTGTCTCAGAGTCGAAAGAAGCCTTTGGTCAGGAAGCGTGGGTTTAACATGGTTTGAAAACTCAGGCAAATGCCATCAGATTTCCCATCGTAAGCAAATCACATTCCCCAAAGATGACAGTAAGGGTATCTGTCGCTAGGAAACTGAAGTGATACTTGCCTACTGTTGGATCGCCGTCAGAAACCAAAATGATGAGAGAAACAGAGTTGGGGTCCAACATCCCCAGGTTATCGGCTTCGTTCAAAATAAAGATGGCCCGCAGCAGAGCTTCATTGATATTCGTGCCTGGGGAGGTGATACAACGTGCCCTTCTGTTAGACGCTCTGCCTTCGTACAGAAACCACCATATCTTGGGTTCAGGTTCATCCGTCTGGTGCTTACTCAAGAAGAATTTATTAGGTACCCAAATCACTCGATCGCTTTCCAATTTTGCCCAAGCTAGTCAAGATCCCCCAGCGGAATAAGAGACTCTCTGTGCAGTGAACTATTATTCCCTTAACGATGAGTTAACCCTTTCGAAGCACCAGTCTGTCATTGGGTCGAACACCAAGTTAAAGTTACATAAACCGTCCTCGCTGAGAGATGTGGATACTGTTCTGTATGGTTAACATTTGTATGCTACATAAGCAACGGGGAAGCAAGCGTCACTCTCCTCTGAGGAAGGTGAGAATAACCGAAAACCCGTGTGGGGTGGGTTATGTGTTGTACTTTCGCCACGAATTTAGTATTTATCATCTAAGAATAAATGTATCATTTAGGGCAGACCATTGCAGACAGGGCAAAGAGCACTGTGGTACGGGATAATAAATCTTCATTGAATCAAGATTTGAGCCCTACAGAGGTATCTCACTGCGATATAGGCTAAACCTACGCACCTCCGCTGGGCTGGATTTTCTCGATATACTTCTTGGCATCTGCAATCTGTGTTTTAGTAGCGGAGACTAAATCGTTGCTCCAAGTGCGCACGTTGTGGTTGAAATTGACCACCGAGAACTGGTCATCGGTTCTCAGGTCATCCAGTATGGTCTTCATTGCTTCCACTGTCTGTTGTAAAAGAGAAAGTAGAAGGGTCTCATCACAGAAGGTCTAAGCCTGAGAAGGAGGGAGTCCAATAATTCATCCTAGTCCTCTTTCAAGTACTGACTACGCCCTACTTATTCCAGAAAACCTCTCACTTATTCTGTATGTGTATTGCTTGCGTTTTGAGACTTACTTCTACTGACTTATGTTGTTCTGCACAACCACTTTGGTTAGTTGTATTTTAAGTTAAGTTCACAAATGTCAGGTGCCCCCTTAGAGGTGTCTGAAAATCAAAAGTATTTCTCAAGTCCATCTACTCGCTCACTCTCTTAAACCACTCGCTTTTCGCCTTCCCCTTCAAACACCAACA